AAACATCGTGTACAACTAGCGTTGTTTGTAACACAAAATCAAGTTACTCGATCGATTTTTAACGTCGATGTGAACAATTCACTGGAAATATACTGAATATTCTATTTTAACAAACTCTTAGTTTCGTGAAGATATTCGAACATCATATTTCATTTGCGGCATTATGCAAATTGTGAAAGTGGAATCAAAAGGTGAGAAACGATTAGACAAATATTGCATTTTTTTCATGCCTATACAACTGCATAAAATTAGTTATACAAAAATAGATAATTAAAATTTTCAATAGCTATCCTGAGAAAGGCAACTACGGTCGAAACTTTGAATGAAAAATTGATACGCTGAGATAATTTCGTTTAAATTATCTTCGTGGCGTATCTCTGGAGTTTCCTGCAGAGCGATCGGTAGAACGTTACTGACACGAACGGTCCAGAAAAGTAGTAATATTCCGTGACAGTGGCAGCCGCGCGATTCTGACGCGATCTCGTTCGTTTTATTTAATGGCAGTCGTTAGTCACCGACTATCGGGCATTGGAAATCATAGGGGTGGTTCTCGATTCTCGCGTTGTATCTCCTTCCACCGTCCTTGCGCGGATTCATCGCCAGTGAAACGAAAGCCGACCGATGACGAGGATAATAAGGACTCGTTAGCCTCCGTGAATCCTGCGGAAGACCGAGTTTGCTTCCCGGCCAAATTCCAACCAACTTTTTCCAGCTCGATTGCGCTCGTTTCCGCGCGCCCTGCGAGATCAGCTTTTTAAAATGCCGGTAATTTCCATTTTTAACGAGCCACGCCGGAATCCCCTGGCGCTACGTCAGATTTATCTTACCTGCTCTAAACGGCCTGATCGTATAAAGGGAATTAATCGCGCGAAACTGTAGGAAAACCGCCGCCAGTATTTTTTCGTTTGTTTGAAAAAGATTATGGATCGCGTCGATCGAGATAGCAAATTATTACAGGTACGCGGTGACTCTCCCGTTGTAACTTTTCAAACAAGTCGACAATGACTCTTCAATGAAATTTCAAAGAGTTTTAATGTAATTACACAAGTATATTTGCTGCATGATTCAGTATATTTCAAATCGTTCGAAAACATTCGCTCGAGTGTTTCAATGCAAGAGTATATCGACTGTCGAACGTAAACCAATCGATGGTATCAAAACATGTAGTAGTATCTCATCGCTAATTGACTATTAATTAAAAGCGCGTTTAGTAGTCTCTAGCGCCGCGGTACTGCATGTATTTACGTATACACAAGCATCCGTTATGTGTTAAGTATCACGTGAATAACGACTTCGTGGAATTAGAAAGGAACTTAAGAAGTTTGCATATTAAAATTTTTAATTGAGTTGCGAACTTATAAATCAGAAAGTTATGCCTCGTCGTGGCCGTACTCCTTTAGTTATGGCAGAAAAAAGTAACTCGTAAAACTGTAACGATCTTTGGTTACTGGTCGGATTATTAAAAAACAAAGTGATCGTTCGAACAAAATCATTCGAGTCCCGGAGGAAAACTATCTGAATTAAAAATTGATGGATTTATTAAATTCTGTACCCAAGTTCCATATCTCGATGTGTTTCTCGAACCGTTGTTTCGAGAATTTCTCCCATGTCAGTATGTCAAAACGTCGAGGCAAGAAATAGGGAGAAGGAACAGAACAAGATCAAGATCCCGGAGGAATACGGGGAAACAGGATGGACTCTCTCATTCATCGAAACTAGATCCCAAATCTAAAGGATCGCGAAGAAGATAACAGCGGAGTGAAACACGAAACTTCGATCCCCAGTTGGCAAAATTAACCAAAGTTTTCAGCTTGTCCCTAAAGAGGCTGAGAATGTGGACACGGGAGACATTTCCGGACGTCGATCGGGAAGAATTTTCTTTGTCAGTCGTGAAACGGTCTATCAGGTCTGTCGCCTCACTATTAGGTAATTTAAATCGTCTTTGTCCAATAATAGAAAAGTTTTTCGATTCATAGACTCGTGGTTTAGTCTGGGTTTCCAACTGGATAAAATTTAGAAAACTCATGGGAGGATAAGGTAATACAAATATATATTATAAACGATAAATAAGGCATAATTCAAACTTGTGAGAGAACATTAATGTATTTGAACTACCTATAACGAGAATACATTTACGAAGGTATAACGCCATTAAAAACTCGATACAAAATTTTGTATCGCCTGCAAAACTACGCGTAGCCTCTCGCGATATAGAACTCCCAAGAATTGCAACCGGAAAAGGGAGCAATCGCGAGGCCACGTTTCTCCTCGTGCCGGTACGAATTGCAAAAACGTGTTCGCGAGGTTGCAAAAACTATACTGCGCCAAAATTGCAACGGTGAAACGTTGCCAATCATGCCAGACGAAGCCTAGTTAGTATCCACGACGCAAGAAGGACGGAAATTTCTCAACGAAGCAAAGCAACGTCGGGGCGACCGTATGCGTGTCTACGTGTGTACACGTGTGGCGAGGAAGAAATCTTGGAGCGCACGGGTAAAGGAAGAAAAAGAGGCGAAACAGACGAGGAAGTCGCTGGTAGGAGGGGGTGAGGGGGGAGGGTGGAAAGCACGTAGAAGCGGCCAAGAGAAGAAATAAAAGTCGAAAGCTGGGGACGAGCGAGCGAGACGAGACGGCAAGGGAAATAAAAAGAAATTGTCATCGTCCGGGTGGTTGCAACCACCCTTGTAACCGTACCCCTTACCCCTTGAGCTTTCCTCAGCCCCGCTTTACAGCCACTGTCATTTGTTTTTACGTTCGCTCCATGCCGTTCCTGAAAATCCTTCGCCTGTCGTGAACGCCGTTCGCCCCTCCTTGTCCTGCGAGATTTCGTCGTGGAATAGAGAGACACCGCTCTCGTCGAGAGAAGTTCAAACGCGCTGGCAATCTCCGGGATTCTCTCTCTCTCTTTCGAACCCTTCTCGCGGAACAAGAAGGGCGCGCAAAGCTGACAGAAAATTTCGAAGTCTCTAGATAAAGGTGCCCCTCCCCCTTCTCCTCCGCAACCTACCCTCTTCCCGTCTGTTAGAGTTTCTGGCGGAGGATATAGTTTTCTGGAAGAGTGCGAAAACCCGGGGCCCGCTGTTTTCTATATTTCTCGGTGTGTTGAACTTACGGAGAAAGTTTTCGGATGAAATTCTGTTCAACTGCAAGATCAACCCGTGGATCTCGAGCGGGATTAACCCCGCTGGGGTATTGACTTTGAGAAAATGTCTGCCCGACATCTGTACGCGGGAACTTAACCGGTCGGGACCGTCGGATAATTTACCAAGAAGGATTAATAATACGGTCATGTGTTTTTAAACTTTCTCGGGCGTAACTTTTCGCGCCGTCGATGATCGGGGGCTACAGGGATAATCTGTCTCGACGGGGCCGGAGGGAAAGTTCCGTTCGTTTAGATTAGTTAGATAAATATACTCGTTGCATTATCTCGCTCCTCCAATGTTTACTTCGACCGCCAGTTACCCGAGGTGGTGTATTTTGTGGGTTTCCTTGCGATAACCGATAAACATTTCGCGGATAATATTTTCATCGTCGCTGCCTTCCGCCATAACAACTTCCTGTACGTTTTATCGACGCGTTCCCAATCAACGGGGGGAACATTTTTTCTCACAATGTTTTCATCCACGCTATTTCACCGACAGCGACTTTTATTCGATGCTGTTGGCTTGTATTTGCCAAACAGTTTTATCGACCTCATATCCATCAAGAGCGATGGAAACGTCGAGAATCATTTTTTATTTAATCCTAGGGAGCTCGATTTACACGCCCCCGATTTACGAGGGGCGCTTGTCCACTCTAGTTTTAATAAAATATTAAAAATAATGGTTGACAAGAATCGAGTTCGATGAGTTACAGTGGAACCTCGGTTATTGCACGATGTACGTTTCATGGTGTTGACAAGTGGAGGGGATGATCGCTAAGCAACAGGTAGTTAAAGTTATAGGTTGTATATAAAGTTCGATAATTGCAAACATCACAAAGTTCCACTGTACGATTTCTATTAACCATTATTATATTTTGATGCATACTTGCAATCCTCCTCAAAGATTTTATTTTATTTTCAGAATGAATCGACGAAAAAGAAGACTATTCTTCGTCAAAGGACAACGATTTTACAAAAGGTTGAAATTGACACAGAATCTTTAAGGTTTGGTTAAAAGTTCCGTGCGTGAACTTTGGAAAAAAGTTTCACGGAAAATAAAGAAGAAAGTTCGATCTCATTCGCAAGAAAAGACGTCTGAGAAAAGTAGGCGCTCAAGGCGATAAAGACAGTATCGCGTATTAATTTTGCCAGACTATTTAATTAGCAAGGGCTAAGTAGAAAAGATAAGAGTTTAATGAATACAGATAGCCTTGTAATCTTAACAGTTTTCTTCTTCGTTCTTATCTAACATTTTACCATGACTCTTCGTTCCTCGAAGGAACAATGGAACGAAATGAAATCTTCACACCAAAAATGATACTCTTGCTTCAGCGACGAAGCATGTTTTCCTTCGTTCTTGCATTTAATATTTCTTTATTTAACATTCTTACTTTTTTCAGATTCTCTGGAAAACATAGTTAACGTAAATTTTCAATAAAATCATCGTTTGTACATAGTGCAAACTTGACTGAAATTAATGCAGGAAAGGGACTGTTTATCTTTGTCTTGTCAACTAATAATAAACGACTCTTCGCGGCTCGTTACACCGAGCAAAGTACTTCTGAATTCGTCGTTTGATAAACACGTTACAAAAATAATAACATCACGATTTCTCTCAAATTTAATTAAAATTAAAAAAAAAAATTGTCTATTCCATATAACATTTATAATATCATTTCCTTCTAAGAAAGTCATAAACCCGTTTTCTGGTTATTTTACCGCAAGAAACGTAAGCTATATGCCTGAAAGTATTTCAGAAAAAATTTACAAAATTGTTCGTGCGTTCAAGCTGAGCTCCAAACCGCGCCAAATTTGAAAGGCCTGCAGAATTATCGATAAAATTGCTGTTTGTACTCACGGATCGTTAAGTTGGCAGGCTTGACGATTTTCGGGCAGACTCTGAAGAGACCCAACTTGAAGCGCACGGTCACGACGTTCGCGAAACTGCGCGGCAAGTATGGAAGTTTCAACTTTTCCTCGGTGTGAAGCCAAGCAGGGCCTAACAGCGCCGTGCTGAGAGCAGCGAGCGCCGCGATGCCGCAAACGACGCCGCATCTGGTCAATCTGATGCCACCAGGGCCACCCGAGCAGCACATCTTTGTCTCTGAGATCCCTCACTTTCTTCAGGATGACATCTCTCGGCTCACAAGGAATCGCCTCGCCGATTTCAGCAATCCCCGCCTTTCTTTTCGCGAGCTTCGACACATCATCGTGCGATTCGCTCACGAGTTCCGCGACACTCGGTACATTGTCCCTCCTTCCCCTGGCCACCGATGCACACTTCGTGTTTCGAATATCCTACGAGGAGTCTTGGAACTCGTAAAGTCTCTGGTTAACCATCCTGAAACATATAAAACGTTAAAGTATTAGAAAAATTTTAAACGACTCGTAATCCTGACACGTGAAGTAAAATTTATTTGAAGTAACTATGGAGAGTATTATTACCCTTTTAGTTGAAATTAAAGAAATTTATCTTTGGCATTCTGAGACACAATGTTATTTAATATAAATTGATCCAGTTGGCCACTTTGGGCGCAAATTTTAATTCTAAATAACGCCCGAATATACTTTTTATTTCCTATTGGCCCGAGTTCTGAATGAATAATGCAAACCACGACTCACGGACGTTAGTGGTTTAAATATTTGAATATTTATCAATCTGTCTAGAAATTTCTGACTGTTTCGTAAAACTACTGTCCACCTTCGCGGTTCTTCTAGAAAATTATAAGTGGGCATTAAAATTCCTTTTTCGACATTAACTATGCATACGTTCTTCGCGTTACAAACGACCCGTTGTCGACGTTAAGTCACTCCAAAGTACCGACACACGGAAACAGCAATTTGTACCTCCATCGATCATCTGCACTTGATTTTCACGATATATCCGTACGCGGGGTGTTTCAAGCCTGTGGCGATTTGTCAGTTGACCAGCGATACTGTCATTCCCTTTCGATGAAAGCGAATAATCCGACCTCGATAAGCAAGTTATCCGGGCACCATCGAGTTTGACTTTATCGAGCTTCTCTGGAGAATTCTTGTGTCCGTCCCGCGCCACGATGGTTTAATTCGCAATGAAAATTCTCACTGTTCTACGGTCCACAGTTTCTCGTGCCGAAATATAGGCTCCAAGTGGCGATAAATAATCGATGGGAAATGATTTCGACTTGTTTTTTACGTTACACGATGCCAACACTCTGTTAAAAATTATTAATTATTCATTCTTTCAACACCCACAAAATTATATGTTTACTATCAATAGTCAAAATGTGAAATGCAATTTCTTCGATCTTAATTTTTGCATTATTTAAGCACCTGGAAACAGCCTCTAAATAATTGCCCACCTGTAGTTACATTCTATGCATACACGTAGCCCGACAGTAACCCTCCAGCGCAACAGTATTACTCTCTTAAAATATTTATGGTCGAGACTTAGGTTGTCTGGGACCCTCATAGATGTAGCTCGCTCGAGCGAATATTTCTCTGCTTACAAGACAAATTGTTTGCATACAAATTAAACAAGCGTAGTGATTCTAAGACTCGAAGACGAGAACGACAAAATAAAATCGCTCAATTAATACCGTGGAATTCTATCGGGCCAGAATAACCAATTGAATGGCATTGGAAATATCGACGGGGCAATCCAAACAGATAAAACTTATCGTTCGAATTAAGCAACTTATTCGCATTATTAAAAGTTTCATCAAACTTTTTAACGATCGCGTACTGAAGTTTTATAATGAATACCGAAGTTTAACGGCAATCTATAATTTATAGTTAATAGGACACTTGTATTCTATTTTACTTTCAAAGGAAAAATTTCGAATGATATATATATTGAATATCTTATAACCGTCGCTTCGTATATTTTCTTTGCGTTAATGGATCTCGCAGGAACTGAGAGATTATGGTCGAGAATCTCGTACCTAGAGTTCCCCGAGATTTTTTAATCACCATTCGCGTTTCTCGAGAGATAATTCTCATATTTGAATCTCGAAAATTTTAGACAAATATGTATTCGTCTCAATAATAAATAATAATGATCGTTTATAGTTTGTAATTAAATAAGAACAAAATTATTTCATTTTGAAAGTACACAGAATTATTGAATTTTGAAGAAGAAAATGGCTGATCACTATTCCTGAAATGGAGAAGCTAAAAGTATTTTTTAATACAAAGCTGGATGAGAATTACGAGCTCGATGAAATGTCGCCTGTCGTTTTCGATGCTGTCAGTTGGTTAGATAAAGAATACTACGACCAGTTGTTTACCGGATCAGAGACGTCGCTAGTTTTATCGACTAAGCTAGTTTTATCGATGCTGGTGTCGGACCAACGGATGTTCCAACACGAATGCACGTGGAATTCGCTGACTGCGAAACAGATCAGGTCGACAGCTACCTAGGCAGATGAAAAAGGGAATGGAAAACCACGCTGTGAATTTGTTTTAAATGGCCAACAGTACTAACGATCGCGACCGATTACTTCATGACTGGCATACGTGTTCCAGATCCCGTTCGACGATTACACGGAATTTTTCTATAATTTTTAATGCCCTCGACTAATTACACTGAAATATTTCTAAAAATATTTAAAGTTTCACGCGATGGATCCAGGACACAGCTCACAATTAAATTTAAATACAATTTAAAGAATATAACATCGATCTAAAAAGAGCAGAAGAAGAGAGACTTTTATCCATCTATGGACACGAGGAGGCTGAAGTGAAACACTCAGAAATGTTTTTATTTTGCAAAATTGTTCCAGAGTGACGAGAAACTGTCTGATGTAAAAGGATATCAACGCAAAAAAAAAGGAAACGTGAAACGAGTTTAAAATTGCTCACAAATGTTTTCTCTCTACTGCGTACAAGGAAAACACTCTTTCATTTTAGTAGACGTTTGTGTAAATTAAAGCAGAGAATAAGTAAATCTCTGTGATGTGTTATTCCATTAAGAGAGAATGTTCTGTATGCGGATAAAAAACAAGTTTACAAAGTCTACATATAAGTCAAATACCGTTCCCCGCATTTTTCGTTTTACGCATTCTTTTTCATTGTGTTTCGGAGTTGTAACAATTTAGCCGCATTACGCGGAGATTTTCGCCGCGCGACTGTCTCAGAAAATAAACCACGTGGAGTATCAAAGTTAATGTTGCATTAAACACTCCGCGTTATTCTGCCTTTCGCGTTTTTATAATTATTACAACCACATCGGGGGATGATCGTTCTGTTCCCATTCACGCTTTGGACGATAGTTAGGGCGGTTGGTGAAAAGAAGCGTTCGACGCGCCGTTCTGCTCGTATTTCCCCACACTTCGCGTAATTTTACGATACAATGAAACCACAGCTTGCACGCAGGACTGACCTGACGTTTGAACGACGTATATACGGCGGGAATAAAGCTTTTTCGAAATGGCAGCGCGTGCCATCGTAAACGAGAATTTACTTCCGCGAGAATATTTCCGTCTTCGTAAATATACCGGGGTGGCTGACTTCCAGCCGTCTCGCAAATTTCCGTCAGGAAGTTTACACCGTTCGCTCGTTCTAAGCAGCTGCGCCGCAGGACTCATCGAAATCCACGGATTTTCGGAAGTTACGCCTCGCAAATTGCCCCGTTTGCCATTGCCGCCCGACAATTCCCGGCTTTTCGATCGCGTTAACCCACTTCTCCTCTTTGTTTATAATTCGTGGAACCGTCGGGGGCCGGAGGGGCACGTCGCAGAACTTTCGTTAGCAAGAAGCAGCGTCGATTTCATTGAGAGGATTTTAATGAACCTTACGCGGCAAACGACTTCATTCGTTTAACTGGGTCACGGAGTAGAAAAAGAACGGCTGTAACGAGCGAAATGGAAATAATGACTTTACGTTTCGATACCTGCCTCTCGTTCGCCGCTAGAAAAATCATTTCACTGACAGTCGAAATCTTGAACGAGCGGCAAATTGAACATCGCGAACCGCGTAAACTGTCTTTTGTTACGACGAAAATTAAAAATTCATATAATTGTGATACACGTGTAACGTTTTTTGATCCACCTAATTTCTGTACTTTACATAGTTCTTCCTCCACATTAAATATCTAGTCATTTAGAAAAACGTGGGTGTCTACTTGACACTTTTGTTGTGTTGAACTTTCCTGCTTTTATTTCTAAATAATTATTTGTATTTTAGTACGTGGCCCAAGTTTCAACGTTAACTAGTATAATTAAACAATTTTAGATTTTATATCGGAGAATTTCGAGCAGAACAAGTCAGCTAATTGAATAAATGCCGCGTGATCTCGCGAGCAGTTTTTAAGCGATCCATTTCTCTTTCTTTCCCCTTTGTCTAATATTCCCTCATTTCCTACCCGCGAGCGAGTGTATGGAATTCGGAAAAAGAATTTTTCTGAGGCCAGATCAAACCCCCACAGTGGTAAATGCGGTAGAGATAATGGTGTCTCGTTCCACTTCAGCATACTGCGATCGCTACCACTGGTAGGCCTCCTCTTTCAAGCTGCCTGCGATAATGGCAAGCGGAATTAATTTCTTCGAGAGCTGGAAAACGTTTCAATGGTTTTTCTACGTAACTAGAAACCCATTAACGGCCTTCACCGCACAACGCTTCTTCCGAACCACATCGCCCCCACCGAAGAGTTACGCAATTTTCAATTCTGTCTGTAAAGTCCTGCACCGACTTACAGGAGCCTCGTCGCGTCTTGCATAAATAAATCAATTTAAACACAAAATTTTAAAACCAAAACTTCGCTATATTCTAGCCTAGAAATGCCAAAAACTCGATTTGCATTTTTGTGATCAAAGTTTTTGGAACTAACGAGATAGTATATGCTGGATGCTTTATTTGATATTCCCCAGTGCGCAACGTGTCCAAAATTCTTGTCTCCGATTCGTATACAATGGTTGTAAATTTGATGATATCTCTCCCTTCTTTCGGAAGTCTGATTGCCTCCGCATGAAACTGAGATAAATTTCCACCTTTGCTCCCTCAACTATAAAGCCCTAAAGAGATCTAGATTGTTGATAAAAAACATTGATCTCTTTCTTGTACCATCTCTCAGCATTTCAAGCTTTAGAAACATCACAATGAAAGTTATTATAACGGA